TTTTATTTTATTTATATTTTTAAAAGATTTATTTTTATTTATACAAGAACTGGGGTACAGGCCAAAGGCGTGGGAGGGTGAGAGGATTCACCAGTGACAGAGTGGGGGGCAGAACAGGCAGACTGACTGAAACACTTTGCTGAGGGGAACAGCAGGCGAGACGGGAGAGGTCTGCTGCGCCATGTGGGTTTCTCCCCAGCCGGCTGGGATCGAACCCGCACTGCAGAGTCTTTGGATTGAACCGGCACTGCAGAGTCTTTGGACAGCTTCACAGTGCTGTGCTCAACCCACTGCACCACGGGGGAGGCCCAACTACCAATATTTTAGTTCACCCTTTAATAATTAGGAAATCTTTGGTAGATTGCTATTTGTTAGATCCATGCACTTATGTTTTCTATTACCATCTTTGGATGTGATTTGTAGAAAAATATTTTAGTTATACGTGTATGTGTATGTATATGTATGATGCATTTATGTATTTGTATGTGTATATAGTGTGTGCATATATATCTAATATATACTATATACTATATATATATATGATTATAATTTGAAATTTGCAATATTATATGGTAGTTCTTTTGTGGAGTTTGGTCGTAGACAAGTTACCCAACATATTTGTTCCTCTTTAACATCATTATAAAATGAAAGAATTATATGAATTAAGTGGTTTCCCCCCCATGTTTGCATAGTCCTAGAAGTCACTGATTTTCACAACAATAAAGGGTAGAGCCAGACTGGCAAAAGAGGGGCAGCTCTGTTCCCTCCCTCTTACTTCAAGCATGGTAATTCTGTTTAGTTTTTTTTTTTTTGTTAATACTCCTAAGTAAGTTTTCCAATTCCTGGTGCCTTTTTACCTATTTATCAACAGTAGGGCTCATTGCATTCTATTGTTGGCTTCATCGTGGGTTGTATTTTTACAAACTACACAGACCTTGGGATAATCAATGGTTCCTTTGAGTTCTGTATTATGTATGAAATGTAAAGTATTAACCATGTGCTTATGCCTGGTTTCTACATGTGAGGTAGTTAAGCCTATTCTTTAATTTTTTCTCTTTGTTAGCTTCAAAGGAGGAAATTATACCATTGCCGAAAACCTTTGGCATTCCATTGACTTTGCTTATAAGGAGTAAATGTAATAAGAAATGAACAGAGGGCTATTGCCAAACGATGGTTATCTGTGTGGATAGTATTTCCAATCAATCAGTTGAGGTTTCTCCCTTTATACAGTGGTTCTAGAGTCATACATGTGCTTGAGATTTTAGTCATAACAGATTATTTTTTAGCACTTCCTACTTTGAGTTATAAAGTTTAGGAAATATAATATGTGCTATTCTAAAGGGTGATATTTTGGTTTTTGTATCTTTTGGGACAACATGTGAGTGAAATGGTATTTTAAGTAAAGCTCTTGTGGAAGTTCTTCCTAACAATCATTTTGTCATTCCATGTGTTTTATTGTAATAAGAAACAGAACAAATAAACTAAACTAGGTGGTCAGGATAACTATAATTTTCTTTATAACTATGAAAAACAAACAAAAGCCCTGTACAAATAGTTGCAGTGAGTTTAAACACTAGTCTCCCAGGTGGTGCTTGTTTGATCATCTTTGATGGAAATGGAAATGGAGTGGGAAAACAAAGAAGTACTGTGGAGATAATAGAAATTACTGGACAAATGGAATAAAATATTTTTCCAAAAACTTACTAGGCTAATCTGGTTCAGAGTGAACCTCTGCACCTCTCCCAACGCTGGATCATTTCATAGTCCAGATTACTTGAGATTGATAAGCTTCTGGAATTGTTAGGTTTGCTAAATTTTAATGCTACCACATGTTAGGTTAGAATATTCATTTTAAGATTACTGAATATAATTTTATTGGTTCAAAAACTCAAGTCTAAGAAATGTCAGTTGATCCAATATATGGATACTCAATCTCTATATATAGAGATGCATATGTACTGCCATTTTAATTCTCCCTATCCCTCTTTGATCATGTTTTCTTTTCAGTGACCTTAGATTAAGCCTCAGAATCTTCCCTAAATCAGAAATAGAGGCAGTGTTTTCTAAATAATGAATCAGAATTGTTTGAAACCTATTTGCCATTCCTGATTGATTATAAATTTCTTGATGGAAGGAAAATAAGGCAATTGGTTATGCAGTCAAATGCTCTCCTGTGAGCTATGCCTCCTAAGACAATTGATTATGATTTGCCTAAATTACCTAACTATTTTAGTAATTAAGGCAGAATAAAACAGAGATTACCTGATTCTCAGTTCAATATTCTTTCCATTAGTTTATGCAGACAAAAAAGGATTTTTTAGAAGTAGTGGCATCATTCTGATAAACTTCAAGTTTTCTTTGTCCCTTTTCTTCTTTTCCTTTACTGTGAAACTCTAGGAATAAATGAGAGGCATGTCCAAAACTCCCTTTAGCAAGGAACTTAGACATAGCATAAATATGTGAATATATTTCATGCATTCATAATTGCTAAGTCTTTCCAAATAAACACTAAGCGTATTTCTAACAGTCTTTGATTTTAGTTGAAGAAAAAGGACCAAAGCTTGCTTTTTCCACATACTTCAGTACACAAATACTACTTAAATGTCAATAAAGAAATTTAACAAGCCTGCCACTTATCTCACTATTAGGAAACATGTATTGAGAGCTTATTAGATACAGGCCAAACTATTAAACTCATGCATTGTCTTTTGGGATTGCAACTCTAATTGGGATATATCTCAATTTATTGTAGATAATTAAGTAGAAATTAAATGACTATTAATTTTTGACACACAAAGGCCCTTTTCACATTTGTAAAATGAAAGAAGTGATATTAATCCACCTGACAAATAAATGTTGAGAATCAGTTACATTATGTTTAGGGTAATTAGTGAAATGAAATTAACATTAGAAATATAATAAAAATTCACTTTTTATTTGCCTACATTGATGTTATTTTAGTAAAATAATTCCCTTGATATTTTTGCTAATAAAGTTACTCAATTTTTTAATTTTTAGAGAGCCAAAATTGATAAAATAGACTTAAATTTGGTGGATTCTGTAGAGAAATCATTATCAGAATTATAGTTATTTGAATTGCTTTGAATATACATATATACACATATATATAAGTATACAGCTTAGATAGATTCTATTACATTAATGTAAAGCATATGAAATTATCTTAAATGTGATTGTAAAACTCTGTAGAATGCCTAAATTTTATAAAACAGGTCTATATTGATGGCAAAATGCAAAACCAAATATGTTAATATAGACATGAACACACATTGACATAAATTGACTTTGTGGTTCTTTAGGACTCGAATTCCATTTCCCAAACCTACTCCCACTGACCCTCCCACATCTATTGGCAAAGTGCCTGTTTAAACAGATGGGGCTTGGGGTGTGCTCTCAGAACAGGCAGTGGTCACCTTTATTGAGTAAAACATTGGATGAAAATAGACTATGTTGTTTTATTGTACTTCTGGGCATGATAATTTGAGTGAAATACTATGATTCATTATTGTTGTTTGTTGTTGGAAACACATTTTCCTTTGAATTAATATGTGATATGTGAAAATTAAAGGATAGCAGATGGAGTTTCAGGGATCTGGAAAATCTATAGGTAGGGAAGTAGTTCTCAGTCAAATATAAAAATGAAAAATCAGCATGGGTGTGAAATGCCATGTGGTTTTATAAATAAATACATGTAGCTAAAATTGTAGAAAATGTTTGGATTGGCCAAGAGACAATGATTGATGATGAAATTTCCCTTACTTATTAAGGTGTATGAGACCAAAATACAATTCACATCTCTTACTGTTTCTTTAACAAATTTCCACTTAAGCAGTTACAAAGTTTGATTTTGAATTGGATAGTAATCCTAGATATCATCCATGTAATGGAGGAATTTGGTAATCTGAGGTGTTAGGGTGCCAGAAGCTTTTGTACTATCAGATGTGCCTTTTGTTTATGACTGTTAATGACATTGCTACTCAGTTCCTGTTTGTGACAAAGCACTGCAAGGAGGGAAAATGCATTAATTAGATGGCTCTGTACTGGGGAGATCATATAAGACAAGATTTTATGCTCTAATATTGACATTTTGAGGAAACATTCAAAAGCTTTTGCTTGCCATACATTTTCATGCTATTCTCTTCAATGCTGCAATAATTAGTAAGTCATCATGTATTTATTATCATGGAATTATGAATGTGATCATATGTTCTTAAAATGACCCATTATTTATTGATGAAATCACTAACACTATGATATTTATTTATTTTAGGTATGAGAATACATGGTCTATGTACAAACAACACACTAAAATTCCAATTAAAGACCATTACTCCTCTCTCCTAAATGATTGTTTAATCTTTTGGTTGCTTGGGTTTTGCCACAAGGAAAGGAACCATGGTTCCCAAATACTTCCTTATATTTTGCTTATCATTTGATGTCTATAAATATATGTGCAAGATAAATGGAAAAGTGAATAATACATGGCACCACATTGTTTTACAAAAATGTTTTATTTCTCATCCTCAATAAAGTGTTAATTCAAAACCTATTGAAGAGTTCTTACTGCAGTGTCTTGAAATAGGCTTATTTGGTGGTGTTTAATTTAAGTCATCATTAAACTTTCTTTTTGTATTGTCTTTTGAAATCATTGAAATTGCCTAAATAACACTGTTCTATCTCTAATTGAGAAGAAAGAGTACCAAAAGATTAATTTAGAAACAAAATGGAAAATGAAAGAATCACAGTATATACTTCATTTTATTAGCAAGAAGTTCATTGTGAAACATTCATTTGAAGAGAAAAATGATTAAAAATATGAAATATTTTAATTTTCATATCACCAGAGAGTAATTAAAAACTGTCTTTATATGAAAGTAAATAGTGTGTGTGTGTAATAGAAATGATCATTGCCAGCTTTATCTTGAACTATTCTGGCATATAATATTTTTAATATTTAATTTTTGTTTTGTTTCAAACAGCAAATGCCAGTCTTCTTGGAGGAGGAGGTGGTAAGTCCTGAACATTGCTTAAAATATATCTTTATTACTAACCAAAACCAAGATGCTTAGTAAGTTCTGAATGACTTTTAAAAAAATTAATTAGCTAGAGTCATTAACTACAAAAATGATAATATTCCAAAATAAATATAATAGAAATACCTTGGCTTTGACTAATGTTATTTTAACTGACTTCATAATAGGTGGGACATGTCAAACTTTGTTTTTTTTTAAATTTTTTTCAAAAGATTTATTTATTTATGCATACAAAAGCACAGGCCAGAGATGCGGGGTGGGGGGGGGTGTGTGAGAGGATCCTGAACAGGCAGATTAACTGAAATACACTGCTGAGGGTAGCAGTGGGTGAGACAGGAGAGGTCTGCCTCACCATGTGGGTTTCTCCCTGGCTGGCTGGGGATTGAACTCATGCTGCAGAGGCTGTGGATTGCTTCCTAGAGCGGTGTTAACCCATTCTGCCACCAGGGAGGCCCATATGTTAAATTTTGTATTTCTACTTTTGGCATAAGGTATAACAACTATAAACTATCAAGAAGAACACATCTATAGCCCTTTATTTTTATTTTGGTCTGTTGAGGGGTGAAAGAGAAAGAGATCAAAATAATATGAGGGATTACTGGGATTCATTTTGATACTAAAATCTTGTAAGCATTTGTAACTTTTATTTTCTAAATTGCAGAATGAAAGCTTCCCTAGCCAATGTCTTTATAATATAGCAGAGAAGAAAAAATTATTCAGTAGAATAGGTGCCTGGGCATAAACAGGCTTTTTTTTTCTCTCCCTCTTATAATTGCTCCCTCTTATCAAGTATGTGGTTAAGTAGATATGATAGAACTCTAGCCTTTAAAAAAAAAAAAAAAAAAAAAGCAAACCTCGAAGGGAAAGTTTTGAAAAAATTCCTTGGATATAAATTTTTCATCAGGAGGTTTTAGTGAAAATTTTGTTTGGATATTAACATTTTAAACTTTGTCCTTATATAAAAATCAATAGATTTGAAAAAAAAAACAGAATCTTGAAATACAGGAATAATAGAGGACAGTTTAAATTAGAGAGTTATCATATTATTACATGTCAATGCATGTTCTGTAGCAAACTATTACAGTTTTGTTTTTCATAAATGACTTTAGAGAATATAAATTTACAGGATTTTTCATTGTATTTTTGAAGTGTTTCTTATTTTTGAAGGGAACATTTTCCTTGGAAGCTGTAGTCCCAGTAATTTTTTTTCAGTAGGTATCCTATAATATGTGAAGAAAACGTTTTTAAAATAAGTTGTCGATGGTGCTGATTTTCTTATGACATAGTGGTATTTTAACAAATTTGATAGATTTAAATAGGATAAAGGAAAGTTAAAAGTGAGTCTGCATAAAAAAATCCATCGAATTAAAGCAACAGAAAATTTAGGTAGTTAATTTATTGTTCTTGGCTATATATTTTTAAAGCTACTTTGACTAATTGAATTAGTTAAATTCACTTTAACTGCCATCACAAAAAAAACCCCAAAAGATAGAAAATTTCCTTCTCATATAAAAGTAGTCTAGATGTAGACTAATATGGTTGTGTGGTGATTCTATGATATCATCAAGTATTCAAGCTCTTCATTTTCTGTTCTCCCAGCTAGTGCACAGGTCTCAGGGTTCATGTTGGCTTCTGGGGCTCTATAAATCACAAAAGAGGGAGTGCAGAGGAATAAGAAAGGGCAAAAAAGAGCCTTCCAAAGATGAGTTGGTTTTCTTTAACAAGCTTACCCCTAGTCCCACATTATCCTTCAGTTTGATCAAATATTTATTTTTGGATACAAGTAGTTTTATTCTAGCAAACAATGTGTTCTCCATTTTCTAAGGCGAAAGGGGAGTATGGAAGTTTTGGCAAATGATGAGTAGTCCCTGCCACAGTGAAAACCTTCTCAAGCACTTTGTCTAAATATATGTATACCTCATTGGTTTTTATAAAATTAACTCAAGTGACTTGGCTTGCACTTCTTTATGGAAGTGTGAGTATATACAAAATAAAACTGTAGCAATAGTAAGATATTCCGGAATAGGCAAGCTCAGTTTTCTGTTTACCTGATTATTTACTTTACTGTCCCCCTCTAGATGGTTGATTTTGTTAAATGCAGTTATTAGCCATAGTTTCTAATTTCTGAATTCTAAAATTAAAAACAGGATAATCATAAAGATAAATTACAAGTATTTAAAATGGCTGTAATTTCTTTCATTAAAGTAGGTCATTGACAGACTTAGATTCATTTATGCAGTTCTGGAAATGTCAAGATTGCTCTAAAATACATGTCTGATTTTGGGAAAGCTGCACTTAAAAGTTAAATTTAAGGAATATTTTTAGCCTTCTCTGAACTGATTTTTGGCTTTTTGATTTTATGGCATATCTTTATAATCTTGTCAGAATATTTGTAAAATAATAGTCTTCATCCAATAAGCAACAGTTGAATTGATGTGATTCTCTTGGATTTAATCAATAATTCTTTTTATTGACTTGAATTAGTATTCCTTCAAAAGTATCTAAAGGGAGAAATTCTTTGATTGGCTAGCTATTTAATCATGAATATTAGACACCACATAAAAATAATAATAGTACACCAAGTACCATTTTTTCATAAATCCATAAGTATTTCCCTTAAATTCTAAGTAGTACTTGTTTATGAAATTTAGACACTATCAATGTATATAAAAGTTTATTATCCATAAAACGTTAGTATTTTATTATTCTTTTTGAGTGCTTGTATCCACAAGGAGAGATCTCCTAAAAGGAGATTTTTTAAAAAGTCACAGATCAGTCTCTCAGTTCTTATTTTAGAGTGAGAGAATCACTATAAATTGGTGTGAAATTTTGCCTTTGGACCAGAGGTTAATCTTTCTAGGAACTTAGTGTTACTCGTAACAGTTCGTTGTAATGAATGTAGGTGATGGGGTCATGACTACCTATTTCAGCTGAAATCGTTGGTAAAATTGTTCGTATTTGTCTATATTTCCTAAATATGTTAAAGGCAGAACCATTTATTGAAATATGTGACTATTCTAATAGTCACTATAGTGTACCTTTCTTTGAAGTTATATTAATTTTTTTATTAACTTCCCATTATTGTTACCAATACCACCCTGTATAGCCAGCTGTGTAGTGCAGTGATATATAAAACAAGTAAATTTTATTTTCTCATTTAGTCCTTTCATTACTTAGGATGAGCTATACTATGCAGAGATGATAAACCTTAAAATCTTACTGGCTTCATAAAACAAAGTTTATGTCTCGCTGACATCATAATGTGAGTAGGTTTGGTAGCTGTTGTAGTGAGTCTCTATTAGAGATGTTGACACAGAGACTCAGGCTACTTCCATATCATATAGCTATATAATTAGTGACTGCTTATGATGTCACAAAACAGGAAGAGAAGTTAAAAGGACCTTGCGGAATGCGTTTAGTTTTAGAATGACTGACATCACTTCTCAGGTTTCAGTTGTCAGAATTCAGACAAATGACACCAAACCTAACTATAAGGCACCCTGGGAAAAATGGAGTCTTCCAGAATTCCCGGGAAGGGTAAGTGGTATGGTGAATACAGCAACATTGTCTAAGCCTTGGTGTTCAAACAACATCAGTGTTGATGTTGTATTATTATTACTATTAAAGTTGAGGGAAATTTGATGATTTCATTAAGATTACATACCTTATAAAGGGTAAAGTTTGGATGAGAAGATTTATAATGTCTTTACCCTTCAGATTTCCCTTTTCTGTGCACAGGTAAGTAACTGTTTACACCAGGCAAAAGGAATGAGAGGACAGGTAAACAGGAAGCTGAGCTATATGTGAATGGTGTTTTCCTTGGCTATTTTCCCAAGTCACAAGATCAATTGATAATTCGAAAATGCATGCAATGTCATTATCTTGTGCTACCTTTTGATCATTGTCTAGGTTCATATATGTTTTTGTTGTTTTGAGCTTCAGTCTTAGAGCACATTTTATTTTTTTTTAACAAATTTCATTTTAAATACACATTCACTCATTTGTATAAGAATGTTTTGCATATACAATGTTCAATGGTTTATTTTTGGAATATTTAAAAAAAAATCTTTGCAGCCAGTCTTATATTGAGAAGCAAAATTAGAAAGAAAAATCAGAATTAAAGAACTAATTTATTAATTCCTTTCAGATCATACATAATTGACTGAAATAAGATCTTTTACTTTAGATAATGTCTTTTCCTTTCATTGTCATGATAATTAACTTGACCAGATTTTGCAGATAAAACCCAAACAGGACATTGTTTATGGGATTTGCTTTTCTTCTAGTCTGTCAAAGCTCCTTAGTGTTGAAGCCTGAGGCATAATGTTAGATACTTAAATTGATATTTCCTAACAGTGATATTTTAAGGTACATTTTGTGTAAACATACCTCTAAAGGATTGCTGTTTTATATCACACACACATAAACACATACATGTATGTACATCTGATACATACCTATGTACCATTTATACATGCATGCATATATATGATATTTAACATATATAGTTGTATGAGTTATAATTCTTTACCTTATCCTTGAGGTGATTCTGTAGCAGGTTAATTTTAAAAACACTAAATTTTAAAAACACTAAGCTATCACCACTAAATAAACACTCAGTCCTAAATGGAACACATGGGAAAGTGGGAAAGCCATTTTTCTAGAATAAGATAGCATGTAGTATGGGCCTTCTTTACCTCTGAAAGCATTTTGCTCTTCTTGAGACAATTAAAGTGGGTCCAAAGAGTAACATTTCCTATTTGCACAGTTCTACTTATAGAGAGAATTCCTAATGCTTTCTTTGTTACTAATGTCCAGTTATATGTTAAAGAGTTTGTGAAAGGTGCGGAAACATTTGCTTAAAGAACTATGAAATCATGAAACGATTTGGCCTCCTACAAAAGATGCCATCATTTATTTCCACCCACCCATTTACTTTACATACACAGATGTGTGTTGGTTCTTTCGTTCTTTCA